CGGCGGGCGGCAGCGCCCTCATGACAAAAACCCCCCCAAAAAAAAAAAAAAAAAAAAAAAGCCAGAAAGGCACAGCCACCATGGTACAGGCAGTATGGTGCTGCCATGAGATACTGAAGCCACATGGGGGGCTCAGGTTCAGATCCTGGGTCGACTTGAACATGCCAGGCATGCCCATGTACCCGTGATCCTGGGTGACTGGGAGCTGGAGGAGGATCACAGCATGGTGAGACCCTGTCAGGGTATGCAACTGTCACTCATGAAAGAAAGAAATGTAAGTAAATAAGGTCAGATGAGACAGAAGATTATAGCATATCTCCAGTCTTCACCAGCCCTGCACCACGGGCACATGTGTACCTGTGTACTCAGGGAGTCGCTAGATGCGAACCCAGAACTGTCGTCCCAGCTGGATCAGCCTCACAGAGCAGTATTTTACCACGGTCCCACCATCTTGCCCCGTAACACTCTGTTTAATTTACTCTAGGGCCCGTGAGCTTGCCGAAGAAAGTGAAGTAGAGAGCCAGACAGAGAGGAAAAATGAGAAATCACTTCCCATGGGGAGTGGCCATGCTACAATCCCTTCTCTTCCATTCCCCTCTCAGGATTTTGGGAATGCACACACACACACGCACACACACACACACACACACACCCACCCAGTATGTTTTTCAAGTCACCAGGTCTGGGACTCAAATCATGCATGTGGCCACATGGGCCCCAGGTGCTTTAACCATCATGCCATTGGCTGGCCTTATAACATTTCTTGTTCCTCATTTTAAATACCTATGGTATGCCAAAGCAGGCACACCCAAAAACCTGTGGCACCCAGTCTTTGTGCTCAAAGAGTACATCAAGCTGAAAAAAGCATTTGGATTGGTCAGGATGGTGACTATAGGCATAGTACCAGTTTTTTTTTTTTTTTTTTTAAAAAAAGGAAAAAATGAGAGAAAACACTCCCCTGTGTATAAAAAAAATAAGCAACAAAATGACTTCCTTGGACAAGGAGGAACAGAGAGGTGAAATGATTTATCCTAGGTCTCCTGGTGACCTACAATTCTAATCCAGCCACTTTTGGAATAATTTGGAACCTTATTAGATACAACTTACTACTACTAGCTTCTTTTATATCTTGCACATAACAACGCAGATGCATTCCTCCTGTATTCCTTCTATCAGGACGTAGAGCATTATTGGTCTGAGGTTCTAAGCTAGAAACCTTGATCCTTTAATAACACCCCCACAGCCCCGCCCCATGCTCCAGGTAATCTAACCGAGCACCAAGATCCATCTGCTCTGCCCGAGCAATGCCTCTAGCAGCCAGCTCCTCCTCCACAGCCTCGTTTCTGTCCTTTGTCTCACTCGCACACAACGATGGGAGCTTCTGGCTGGCCCTTAGACACTTATTCTACCTCCAAGTGCCATAAACGTTAACTTTCCAAAAGCCGTATCTGATCCTATCGCTTTCTTGCTTAGAAACATCTGTTGGGGGACCAGCAGTTAGCGTAATAGCTATGTTGCTGGACTCCCATGTAGTTGACCGCGGTTCGTGTCCTGGACCCGGGGGCTTAAACTCACGCCGGGCGCATGTGCGTGCGTGCCCAAGATCTCGAGAGGAGAATGGAGGAGAAGGGATTGCGGTGTGGCCATCCCCCCTGGGGGGTGATTTCTCGCTTTCTATCTCTCTGTCTCTCTCTGTCTGGCGAGCGCACGCGCCCTATAGCAAAAACCTCTCCAAAAAAAGAAAAATAAATGTTTTCTATGTTATGAAACATCTGTTGGTTCCCTACTGCTTTTTGGGAAGAAGAGTCAAAGACCTTGATATGGCACAGAAAAGTTTTCAAAATATGGCTTCAGCTAGGTGCAGTGGTGTACACTTATAATCCCAGGTACTCAGAAGGCTGAGGCAGAAGGGTCACTAGTTCGAGGCAGACCTGGGTAACACAGGGCTGTATGTGTGGCTCTCCCTTTTTTAAAATTTGCCAGAAGGTGTTTGTACTCACTAGAGAGAAAGAGAGAGAGAGAGGGAGAGAAAGTACCCCTTGTGAGGGTGATCATGCCACAATCTCCTCTCTTCCATTTCTCCTTTTGGGATTTAGGACACGGACACACATGCACCTGGTATGTTTTTCAAGCCACTGGGTCTGGGACTTGAACCACAGAGTTGCCTATGTAGGATCCAACTGTCTTAACCACTATGTCACTGGCTGGCCTGAGACTTTGTCTCTTTGAACACAAAAGGTAATAATATTACAGCTTTAACCTCTTTTACCACCCTCATATCGGACAAGACCTCCTATCCTCACCCTGCCATTGACCAGGTCCAAACTATTCTTTCATACCTTTTTTTTTTGGAGAGGTTTTTGCTATAGGGCGTGTGTGCTCACCAGAAAGACAGAGAGACAGAAAGTGAGAAATCACCCCCAGGGGGGGATGGCCACACCGTAATCCCTTGTCCTCCCTTCTTCTCTCCGGATCTTGGGCACGCACGCACACGCGCCTGGCCTGAGTTTAAGCCACCGGGTCTGGGACTCGAGCCGCGGTCAACTATGTGGGAGTCCAGCGACATAGGTATTATGCCAACTGCTGGTCCCATCTTTCATACTTTTTCAAGTAATATTTCCTCGCCAAGAATGTTCTTCCTTTTTTTTTTTTTTTAAATAATCATTTCATTTAACTTATTTATTGATTTTAGTTTGACAAGAGAGAGAGAGGGAGGGAAAGTAAGAAAGCAAGCCACCAGGTCCAGGACTCAAACTACAATCCAACATGTGGGAGCCCAGCGCCCTTAACCACCACACCACCTACCACCCCTGCCAAGAACATTCTTAATTCCTTGCCAATTTGCCAAACTCTTACTTAATTCTGAGTCCCAGCTCAAAAGTATCTCCTCCACAAAGCCTTTTAAGGCAATCCCCAACCAGCAGAGAGTGCCCAGAGCAAATTTCCAGAATTCTGTTAAACCCTTACTATGCTGTTCTATTGGGCTGTCAGGAAAGTCAGGACGTCTGTGTCATTCTATGCAAAAATGCATCATGACTTTTCTGAAAACCCGATACTTTGTGGCACCGACTAAGCCACGGTCCAATGTCTGCTGGTTAAGTGAAAATAATCTGGTAAAAAGTAACACTCACACGTGTCAAAAGAACATGCACTTCGGGAAATGCTTTGACTTCTAGAAATCAGAAACACACCTGGCTGGATGTTCAAATGAGCTCCTCCTCCTCCCCAGCACCTGTGTGTTGCTTACTCACTGAGAGGGTGAAATACTTTTACCTCTTCAGGTAGCGCTTCTTGTTCTTCTGCTTGAAAATACAGCTCTTGTAGCTTTTCCTTTAGCAGTTCCACTTCTATTTCATTCACGTGGCTCGCACTCAGGTACATTCCCATCTCGCATTCACACCCGTCTGGGTGGTCTTCTGCAGGGATGTGAACAGCCCAGTCAGATGTCAAAAGCTATGGGATGACCACAGACGTATGAACTGGTGTGTGTTTGTTCTTTTTTAAACAACTATTTATTTAATTCAATTTGTTATTATTATTTTTTAACTTGACCAGACAGAGAGAGAGAGAGAGAGAGAGAAAGGAAAAGCAAGAAAGCAAGCTGCCAGGTCTGGGACTTGAACCGTGGTCAGCCATGTGCAGAAATCCAGTGTCGTTAACCATCCCGCCACCTGCTGACCCCCAGACGAACTGGTTTAAAGGAAAAGATACTCCACTGGCTTACTCAAAGGGCTTGTAAGTGATGGTGGTGGTTTCTCTCCGCCCCCCTTAGTTCTGCATCCCAGAACTGTCAAATAGGATTTCTACCTGTTCAATTCTGGAGTACACCGCCACAATCTCGGGGATGTTCTTAAATTCATTCAGAAAGTTTTGGATCTTCATCTGAAAATCTCGAAGCCATGTAGAAGATACTTTCATCTCTGAAGAGTGCATGATCTCATTACGACACTTAATCACCTACAGAAAAACATACAAAGTTTCAAAGCCAAATAACAGGGTAAACTGAGATCTTAACGCCAAAGAAAAATCACAAAAAGGCTTTTTTTTTTTTTTTGGAGAGGTTTTCACTATAGGGCGTGTGCGCTTGCCAGACAGACAGAGAGAGACAGAGAGACAGAAAGCGAGAAATCACCCCCCAGGGGGGATGGCCACGCCGCAATCCCTTCTCCTCCATTCTCCTCTCGGGATCTTGGGCACACACGCACACGCACCTGGCGTGAGTTTTAAGCCACCGGGTCCGGGATGCAAACCGCGGTCGACTACATGGGAGTCCAGCGACATAGCCATTACGCTAACCGCTGGTTCCACAAAAAGGCTTTTGTTAATTATAAAATCAGCAAGCGTGATTTCCAGAGAAGGATCAGTACTTTCTTGGGATCATGTACATCTTGGGATCTGGGGAAAGAAGACGCTCCAGGTTCCCGGCCCTCGGGCACATCCCTATTTAATGCCATCCTGTCCAGAGGGTACGTACAGAAAAGTTAACTCTTCTTGGGTCACAAACTGAAAGGCCTTCAAGGGTTTAAGACAGGCAACCTAGGTCAACCTGGCCATGTGGGACAGTAGGGAGCCGTGGAGAGACGGGACAGGGACAAACTGCTATGTAAAGGGGCAGCTTCTGTTCAACTCATAGCTTGTGGCCGTACGAGCCCAGTGTTGCCACATCTTCTGACTTTTCGAGAAGCTAGAAATTCAGATGTTTTTGACAACTTCTTTCCTTTCATTCCTTTCCTTTCCTTTCCTTTCCTTTCCTTTCCCTTCCCCTTTCCTTTCTTTCTTTCTTTTTTTTTAAACCAGGCAGGACAAATAAAACATGACTAAAAGCCAAATATTAGCCATAGGACTCCAGGGAACAAAAAGATGAAAACTGAGGGGGCAGTGGGTGGGGTGGTGTTTAAGGTGCTGGACCACGGTCTGAGTTTTGGACTCAGCGGCTTGAAGATCATGCTGGGCACATGTACATGCATGCCTAAAATCCGAAAAGGAGAATGGAGAAAAGATTGAGGCATGGCCAATCTCCCTGTGGGGTGATTTTTCACTTTCTCTCTCTCTGGCTCTCTCCAGCGAGCCCACGTGCCCTATGACAAAAACCTAAAACAATGAAAATTTTAAAAATCGGGCAATAGTGTGGTTCAACATTTTCCCCCTTCCTAAGCTTCTATAACAGGTAAGAAGTTTTTACTTTTTATCATTTTTTTTAGTTGCCAGTGGGCACACGTGCTCAACGGAGAGAGGGGGAGGGAGGTAAAGCACCTTCCAGTGGAGAATGGTCACAATGCCATCCCTTCTCCATTTCTCCATCTTGTCAGATTTTGGGCATGCTTGCACACGTCCCTGGCATATTTTTCAAGCCACCAGGGCCAGGATTCAAACCAAGGTTACCCAGGTGGGATCCTGCTCCCTTAACTAGGGTATGAGGCTGGCCCAAGAAATCCCTGACATGAACCTGGAGGTGCTGTTGAGGCTTGGGGGGATGTTCAACCCCTTGCCACTTGATTAACAATTAACCAGGGTAAGAAATATAAACAAGCCTACAACTGTCCTTGAAATCTTGTGGCCAGCAGGATATCACATATTTCCCCAGATTCCTTAAAACAATCTGCCAGTGGGACCAGCAGATGGCGTAATGGTTACGTCACTGAACTCCCACATAGTCGGCTGTGGTTTGAGTCCCAGAGCAGGCAGCTTGAAACTCACACTGGGCATGTGCGCGTGTGTGCCCAAGATCCCAAGAAGAGAATGGAGGAGGAGGGATTACAATGTGGCCATCTCCATGGGCGGGGGGTGATTTCTAGCTTTCTGTCTCTCCAGAGAGCACATATGCCCTATAGCAAAAATCAATCTCTCCCTGGGACCAGCAGTTAGCGTAATGGCTATGTCCCTGGACTCCCATGTAGGCGACCGTGGTTCGCGTCCCGGACCCGGTGGCTTAAAACTCACTCCGGGCGCATGTGCGTGCGTGCCCAAGATCCCGAGAGGAGAATGGAGGAGAAGGGATTGTGGTGTGGCCATCCCCCCTGGGGGGTGATTTCTCGCTTTCTATCTCTCTGTCTCTCTCTGTCTGTCTGGCGAGCGCACAAGCCCTATAGCAAAAACCTCTCCAAAAAAAAATCAATCTCTCCATAATAAAACAAAAACAAGAAACAAAAAAGACACAACCTGCCAAGCATGTGGGCTGAGGGTATACCCACAGGCTGAAGGAGACAATGCAAAATGTTTGAAATGCCATCGGAGCACCAGTAAGCTGGGTCGAGGGGGTTTTCTGACAACTGCTGTCTACGTTTTAATCTATCTACTCACATATGACTAGATAATTCATAGAATCTTCCAAGTGCAGGGCCAGCAGATGGTGCAGTGGTTACGTCGCTGGACTCCCACATGGCCGACCACGGTTTGAGCCCCAGACCCAGACGCTTGAGACTCATGCTGGGCGCGTGTGCATGTGTGCCCAAAATCCTGAGAGAAGGGACTGTGGCATTGCCATCCCCCTTGAGGGGGGGAGGTGATTTCCCACTTTGTCTCTCTCTCTCTCTGGCAAGCACATGCACCCTATGACAAAAAAAAAATCTCTCTTAAAATAAAAAAGGTGTCAATTACTGTGATAGTTCTTTGACTCTGCTCTTATCCTCAGGGATTCTCACTCCCTTCAGCTGCTGGCAAAATATATGTGCATTTTCTCCATGTGTTATTCTATACCTAACCCAGGTGTGCCATATATCCTTTTCAATGACCCTCAGAGCAATACAGGCAAGACCTGTTCTCTGGTGAACCAGAGAACAACCTAAATCTCCCAGAGAGAATCTGACAAGCACAGAGATCTATTCTGACATTATTACCCATATTTTCTTCAGGCCTATGGAATTTGGTCTTGCAACTGTTTACTCTGAGATTTGGAAGGACAGGATTCAAATGCTTTGCATGCAACAGAATAACATATTCTATATATATTTTTTTTAAATAAGGAAAACAACTTTACTTCTGTTTATTGTGGAAAAACGGAGAAGAGAAATTTGAGGTCGGGACCAGCAGTTAGCATAATGGCTATGTCACTGGACTCCCACATAGTTGATCACGGTTCGTGTCCCGGACATGGTGGCTTAAACTCACACCGGGCGCATGTGCATGCATGCCCAAAATCCTGAGAGGAGAATGGAGGAGAACGGATTGTGGCGTGGCCATCCCCCCTGGGGGGTGATGTGTCTCTTTCTGTCTCTCTGTCTCTCTCTGTCTGTCTGGCGAGTGCATGCACCCTATAGCAAAAACCTCTCAAAAAAAAATTTTTAAATCTAAGAATGTATATATGTGCATAAGACATTATGATATGATATAATGTTTAATTAGGGAGAACTAAGAGGTTAGTCTCTGTCTTTTTAAAGAATTATTTATGGGGACCAGCAGTTAGCGTAACAGCTATGTTGCTGGACTCCCATGCAGTTGGCAGTGGACTGAGTCCTGGACCCGGTGGCTTAAACTCACGCCGGGCACGTGTGTATGCTTGCCCAAGATCCCGAGAGGAGAATGGAGGAGAAGGGATTGCGGCATGGCCCAACCCCCCTGAGGGGTGATTTCTCACTTTCTCTCTCTCTGTCTCTCTCTGTCTTTCTGGTGAGCACATGTGCCCTGTAGTGAAAACCTCTCCAATAAAAAATTATTTATGTAATTTTATTCATCATTATTGCTTTTTAAATTTGCTACAGGGAACACAGGCTCACCAGAGAGAGAGAGAGAGAGAGAGAGAGAGAGAGAGAGAGAGAGAGAGAGAAAGCAAAGAAGTTAGTCACCAGGTCCGGGATTCAAACTATGGTAGGCCATGTGGGAGTCCAGCGCCTCAACCACCACACCACCTGCTGGTCCCAGGTTAGTCTCTTAACTGCACCTGCACTAGGGCTCTCGGACATCATAGATGATGACATTACGAGCCCCACTAGTCTGTTCAGTGATGCTGACTTTGTACACCACTCTTGGAGCTTACCTGGCCGGCCTGGCGTTAGCGGGTGTGTCTCACGGCAGGCCTTTCTGTACTGACCCAACCGATTCGGTGTGTGTGCTTTTGAATCCAACAGCTCTTACCTCGGTGACTTTCTTTCGATCAACCACGAAGTGATCGCAAGAGTTGATGAGACTTAAAAGAGCCACTGCATCACATTCCTCAGGTCCTCTTTTGTCGGCCTGTCCTCGCGGCATGAAAGCCTGCAGTATGGGGGGCAGGGGCAGGAGGGGTGTCTGAGTCTCCTCCAACTCTGGGAGCTGGAGAGGCAAAGGTTACTTGCCCGTTTCCCAAGCAACGACTGAGATTCTCTTACGCACTGAGGTTTCAAGTTAGAGCCTCACCTGTCTAAAATGCAAATGGAGAAACACGGTCACGGTTAAGCCTTGGATGACAACACCCAAAGCGCTGGGCTATGCCTTTGGTACTAGCTACATCTGACACGACTGGTTTTTTTTTTGTCCTAATAACCAGGACACATAGATAGAACATTACTAGTTTTCTTTTCCTCAAAAATTTCAGTGGTAGGGCTGGCAGGTGGTATGGTGGTTAAGATGCTGGACTCCCACGTGGCCAACTGCGGTCTCTCTCTCTCTCTCTGATCAAACTAAATAATAAAATAAGGGACCAGCAGTTAGCATAATGGCTATGTCACTGGACTCCAATGTGGTCAACTGCAGTTGGAGTCCCGGACCCAGTGGCTACCCAGTGGCTACAACTCACGCCAGGCACATGTGCGTGAGTGATCAAGATCCCAAGAGGAGAATGGAGGAGAAGGGATTGTGATGTGACCATCCCCCCTGGGGAGTGATTTCTCGCTTTCTGTCTCTGTCTCTGTCTGTCTGGCAAGCACACGTGCCCTATAGCAAAAACCTCTCCAAAAAACAACAATAAAAAAAAAATTTTTAATTAAATAATTCTTTAAAAAACTAAATAAAACTTCGGTAGCTGAGTTCTTAAAGGCAAGGATTTAAAAATAATGCTACTCCAAAGTGAATGTTTTCATTTCTTCTTTTTAATTTGCCAGAGGGTGTGTATGCTCAGCAGAGAGAGACAGAGACAGCACGGAAGAGGGAGAAGGAGATATAGCTCCCACAATGCGGTGTGGTCACAGTGCAATCCCTTCTCCATTTCTCCATTGCATTGGGATCCTGAGCATGCACGCACATACACCAGTGTGGTTTTCCGGCCACTGGAGCCGGGATTTGAATGGTCAGCTACCTGGATAGCTATCAGTCAGCTATCTGGGGTCCAGTTCCTTTAACTGCTAGGCCACAGGGCAGACCCAAAATGGATACTTCCTAGATGACCTGAGAAAGTTCAGTATGGTAGTGTGAAGCTAAGAGCCTGAGTTTTGGAATATGACAGAGTTGGGTTCAAATGTCAGCTCTGCCACTTGCCAGCTGGGTGACCTTGGGCAAGTTACTGAGCCTCGGCTTCCTCATCAGTAAATGGGGGCTACCTGTCCTCATTTATCTTGAAGGATGTTGTGGACAGAACACTAGCAGACAGAGACCGGGATATAAGACACTAGATATGCTAGAAGGGCCTTGTTCTAGAACAATCTTCAGTAGGATGTTATGGCACGGACCTCCAAAATGATGTCATAGCTAGGCTTGGGCATAATTCTTTCCTGAAATATCCTAAACATATATCTGGAATCAACCATTTTACCAGGCTAGAGCTCTCAAAGGTACATTCCTGCCAAGGGACTGAAACAGATGCTATACCACGCTAAGTAAAAGAGACCACTTTCATTGAACACACACACATTTCAGCAGGCAAGCCACTGCGATGCTTCCTGAACCTGTACTGCTCATGATGGTATTCTGAAAACGGTGCTGGTGAGTGCCGATGCACCCCAAGGAGATTCGGGGCTATCTTTCTGATAATGGTGTGATCATACACCTGAGTCTCACCTACAAAGGGTCTTTGAGAAGTGGATGGAAAAAGCGTATTACTAAAACTATGCACGGGGGACCAGCAGATGGCGTAATGGTTTCATCACTGGACTTCCAGGACTCCCAGGTAGTGGACCATGATTCAAGTCTCAGGCCTGGAGGCTTAAAACTCATTCCAGGCACATGTGCATGAGTGCCCAAAATCCCAAAAGGAAAATGGACGAGAAGGAATTGTGGCGTGACCATCCCCCCTGGGGGGGTGATTTCTCGCTCTCTGTCTGTCTCTCTGGTGAGCACACATGCCCTATAGCAAAAAATTTCTTAAAAAAAAATAAATAAATAAATAATAATAAAAAGCTATGCGCGGGAGGGGACCAGCAGTTAGCGCAATGGCTATGTTGCTGGACTCCCATGTGGTCGACCGCAGTTCGCGTCCCGGACCTGGTGGCTTAAACTCACGCCGGGCGCGTGTGCGTGTGTGCCCATGATCCCGAGAGGAGAATGGAGGAGAAGGGATTGCGGTGTGGCCATCCCCCCTGGGGGGTGATTTCTCGCTTTCTGTCTCTCTGTCTCTCTCTATCCAGGGAGCACATGCGCCCTATAGCAAAAACATCTCACACACACACAAAAAAGCTATGTATGGATTTTGAAAAAAAATTTTTTGCACCAAAATAAACTCATACTTTAATTCTGATATCCCACAAACTTTCTGAAGTCCCCTCATAATTAACAGAAAATGTGCGTACACTGGCCCCTACCAAGGGGTACCATGGCCAGTACCATCATTGTCTTCCCACACCTTAACAGCCACCCACACACCTGCCTTTTGAAAGAAGTCTACAATAGATATTACGAATATCAACAAAGAAACTAATGAACTTGCTACAGTTAATGCACTGTTTAATGTCGCTGTCATTGAGAGGAAAACGTAAAAGTCGAGGGACCTTAGTTGCCTCCCAACCAGGCAGTTTGCTTTTACATTGTGAGATAGGCCCTTTCTGGAAATTTCTCAGCAACAAAAATGGCTATGTTCCGTGTTAAGTTTGATTTGAGTAACTAGTCCCCTCCTTCAGAACTAGGAGCCAACAGGGAGGCCCTGATTACCATTCCACGGTGAAGGTGGTTTCTGGCAACTGCTGCGTACGCTGTGTCCCACGCGGAACCCGCGCAGCACTGAGAAACACACTCGCTGCCTTGCTTTACCTTCTGCAAGAGCGCTGAGGAGGAGCAAGCGAGACTGGAGGAAGAGACAGAGGCCAGATCGTGCTGGGCCTCATTGGCTCTGGAAAGGAGTGTGGAGTCTATTTGAAGGCCATCGGGAGGCCACCCAGGGGTTTTAGGCAGGAGAAGAAAAGGATGTAATTCTCATTTGAAGCCAGAGGTGCCCAGAGCAGCAGAGCAGGCCACGGAGGGGAGGGAGAGAATTGTGATGCAGAGGTGGAAAGGCGGAGGGTTCTGGAAATATTTTGCAGGTATGAACAAGGCGGGGTGGTGGTGGTGAGAAGGCAAGAGATAAAGAAGACTGAGTCTAGGAAGCTGGTGATGGGGAACAGGCATAGGGTGGGGGCAGAGGAGAAGTCGCAGCAGCAGAGAACTGCATGTGAAGGGTCCAGGAGGGGATGGACAAGAGGGGACACATGAGCAGGTGCATCAGAAGAGAGGGTCGGGCTAAAGGTGGTATTAACCTTCACAGGCCTAGGAAACATCATCAAAGAGGGGGACAGAAAAGACCCAGCCCCAAGTTCCGTGGAAGGCCACAATCCACTCTACTACTCCATTCTCTCGAGACTTTTTTTCTTTCCTTTTTTTTTTTCCCCGGAGAGGTTTTTGCTATAGGGCGCATGCGCTCGCCAGACAGACAGACAGAGACAGAGAGACAGAAAGCGAGAAATTACCCCCCAGGGGAGATGGCCATGCCGCAATCCCTTCTCCTCCGTTCTCCTCTCGGGATCTTGGGCACGCATGCACACGCGCCCGGCGTGAGTTTTAAGCCACCGGGTCTGGGACGTGAACCACGGTCGACTACATGGGAGTCCAGCGACATAGCCATTACGCTAACTGCTGGTCCCTTCTCTCGAGATTTTGGGTGGACAAAACCTCTCCAAAAAAAAAAAGAAAAAAAAGCTATTTGTATGGCAATGGGAATATGCTAGGAGAACAGAGCAGAAGAACCAAGCCTCAAAGTCCTTGGGCAGGTGGGAAAGGGTAAGACCTAACACACAAGTGGAGGGATGGGGCAAAAACAAAGCCCCAGCATGTTTTTCAAATCTCTGTCTGGGACTTAAACTACATAGTCAACCATGTGGGATCCAGCTGTCTTAACCACCATGTCATCAGCTGGCCCCTGTCTGTCTTTTCTTAAAAATGAAATAAACAGGGGCTGGCAGTGGCATGGTGGTTGGGGTCGTTGGACTCTTAAGTGGCTAACCACAGTTCAAGTCCTGGATCTGGCGGCTTGCTTTCTCTCTTTCTCTTTCTTTCCCCCCGCCCCCAACCCAGTCAAATTAAAAAATAAAATAAATGGATAAAGCTAAATCATCTTTAAAAATTAAATAAACAGGGGTCAGCGAGTGGAGTTGTGCTTAAGGTGCTGGACTCCCATATAGCCAACTGTAGTTTGAGTCCCAGACCAGGTAGCTTGAAAATCATGCTGGGAGCACACGTGTGTGCATGCCCAAAATTCCAAGAAGAGAATGGAGAAGAGACTGCCATGTGGCCATCCCCCTGGAGGGTGATTTCTCTCATTCCCTTTTTCTGTCTCTGGTGATTGGATGCACCCTACTGCAAAAACCAAAAAAAAAAAAAAAAAAAAAACAAACAGAACCAA